CAGGATTCAGTCCCCTCCTCAGAACTAATGTTTTCAAGTATTTTCCCCGAAGATAATGGATTTTGTCCCACCCAAATCCAGTTCCTTCAGTAAAACATATGCTCATGTACAGAAAACAAACAACTTGTATTCAACAGACCTGGTCTGTGTGAAGCGGAGCTTTGAGTTTGAGACAGGATCTCCTCTCCTCATTCAGCTTCTGTGCTGGGAAAAGAACTGTTTCTCCGCTTTGCGAAGAAAAAGATGAATCACCCCAGTAAGAGGAGTTTAGCTTCCATCGCTGCTTTTCAAAACTCAGTGGCCAGCCTAACTTGTATCTTTCAGCAGAACAGTTGGTCTTGTGCTGTTCGGTGTCATCACGTGTCTGGGGGCGCTTAGTGTGGTTTCCTCTGCTGCAGACTTGGCGAGGAGCCTTTCCGAGCTGGAGAACCATCGCCACTCGTTGATTTGAAAACGTCGAAGCTACAATTCTCTGATTATGAATCTCTATTATCCTCTTCTGCAGATTTGATGAGATTCACTAGTAAAAACTAAGACTGTCAGACTCCATTAAAAAACAGCGTCGACATCATGGAGTTACTTCTGTTACCAGAGACCCAATGAAATCCACAGGACACAGAGAGGTTGGCCTGCTAACATGCAATAGGGTTTAGGGGGAAGTGAATTCATCAGGGACTCTCTATTCTTAAATTAAAATATAATTTGTCTATAAAAAGTTATAAAATTATTCTGAGTAGAAGATTCAGTTGGTGGCAGGTCTTTTTAAAAATATGTTTTAAAAACCAGTAAATAATTGGTGGATGCCCAGAAAACAGATTTCCATGACAGCAGGCCTCTAAAACCCTTGTTTCTAACAAAAAAATAGACATGTTCTCAATGAACACTCACCAGGAAAATAAACACACAGAAACAGAATGAACTTCTCTCGGTGGAACGTAATTTCCGGGCACAGCAACTAAGCACAGGGTTTGGCTTCCTTCTTCTCTGGCACTTGTATCCCCTGTACATCGCTGCAAACTCGGGGACTGTTCACGCCACAGGGCCACGCGAGCGGGAGGCCGTGCTGAGCCCGTTGAGGGGGCGTCAGGAACGGGGGAGGATCCAAGCCCCGAGCCGCTCGCACGGCCGCGCCCTGTGGCAGGGGCACTGCCAGGCCTCCTGGCGTTGCCCTCTCAGAGGGGCCGGTGCTCACCAGGCTCCGCGCTTCCTTTCCCACGGCCAAGGAGAGGCTGTCGGATGGCTACTGTCTTGGGACACGAGACCGCTGCCCCGTGGGGACCTAACTTGTCATGGCCTTGGATTTATTACAGGATATCCCAAATGGTGCATCGACCCGCCTCCTTCTTTCACTCCCGCTAGCGATCACCACTAAGATCACAAGGTTTAAGCTCAATGATTTCTAAGCCTAGCTGCCACCTCTGACGGTGTCGGAAAATCTAGATTTACTATTTCAAGTGCCTATGTCTGGCTGTCCCATGTTAACTCCTTAGACCCTAAACCAAGCTCCTCGCCTTCTCAGCACCTCTTCCTCTGCCCAATTCTGTGTGTCAATGGGCACTTCCAGGCTGAAGCAACTGTGCCCCGCACTGCACCTTCTTCTGTCAAGTCCACTTTTGCTCGGGCTCCCAATTGCGCCCTCCATCTGGCTGTCACGGGGCTAAGCTGCGTCACTCTAACAGCCCAGGCTCAGGCCCTCCGTTTCCCAGCCTATCGCACCCAGGGCTCTCAGATGCTAAGAACTGGCTGATTTAGGTGGTGCTACAGATGGACAACCCAAGAATTGGAAAGGTTACTAAACACGTCCACGGTGGAGTAGTAAGTGCTGGCGCTGAGACTGCAACCGGGACCCGAGCCACTGTTTCCTGGAAGGAAGTTTAGACGTTCCAGACAGGTAGTCGGGGCTGGTTCTCTGCTCTGTCACGTATCAGTTCGATGGCCACCTTTACATTGTTAAGCTTCATTTTATTTATTCAGAAAATGTACAAATATTTTCTCTTATTGTTGTGAATATTGGCTGACATGCTGCCTGTTCATAATTAGGGCTTTGCTTAGTGTATATTAATATGCTAAACAAATACTATTTTAAAAACATATGACAACTATTATGCCTATCTTGTAATAGGTTTTTTAACAGGTCTTCTCAAAAACATCTCCCTGGTTCAAACAATGTGTTTTCCTCCAATCCCAGCTCTGATCAATTCCACTTCTGCCCGGCTCTCCCACTCTGCCCTCCATCCTGGCCGCCACCGAGCTAAGGTCCGTCCATCTAATGGGCCAATTTAAGTCAATTTCTGCCTTAACCCTTCAGTGAAGGGATGGTATCTTTCTGTCAACAGCACTCACTATTACGGACACAACCAACGTCTTCAGCATTTCGTCCCACTACCATTTCTTTTCTTTTTTTTTTATCATCCAAACAACACAGGTAACTCAGTATTCGCCAAACGCCCTGATAGTTCCAGCCAGATCTCAGCGTGGCCTGACCTCTGGGCTGGCCTGACCCTCCGGCCAAGAGCATACGGCCCTGTCCTGATTTACTGGTGTCCTGTCGAGCCAGCCCGAGGGCTCCAACCCTGCCTCCTCCTGGGCTCTCCCCGACTCCTGGAAGAAGAAACACTGTCACGCTCCCTGTCCCCCTTACCCACAGTGGCTTCGTCACACCATAGGTGGCATTCTGCCCTGAAATGTGGAAACTGACTGTCCCGCCCGTGCTGCCGAGAACCCACACTGCGCACGGCTGAGTGACTCCTGAGGAGGGTGCACGGGCCCGCAGGTGAGGGAGGCTTCGGGCACTGAACTAAGTTATATTAATATATAAACTGTATATGTTTTCAGTTAAATGCCCAACTTAGAAGGGATATTACTGGGGTTCTCCGCCTCTACTGGTGGAAGAACAAGGAGTATCCGGAACTTTCTACCCACAATTTCAGATTCTGTTCTACACAAGTCAGAATAGAAGTCAATGCCAAGACAGAGACTAGCACTGTTCTATCTGAAAAGCGGTATTTCCTATTGGCCTGGAGGTGACCCAGGTCCCAGACCCAGTCAGTCAAGGTGCCGATGCTCCTGGAGCACTAGTTCTGAGGACCAGAAACACCAACGGGTGCAAAAGAGTGTTTGCTTCAGGGTGTGTGTTGGGTATGTAAGTAATATCCATAGGAACACAGACACACAGTCACACACACCTACCCACACTCACATACTCACGCACACACACACACTCATGCACACAGTCACACACTCTCACGGACATGAACACACACTCACGTGCACTCACTCACATTATCACAGTCACACAAGCGCACACACTCGCACACTCACACACATGTGCACTCAGTCACGCACACACAGTCACACACTCACACACAGCCTCTCCGATTCTCTCTGCCTGTGCCAGGGCCCAGGTCTCGTTAGATGGCAGCATCCTGTTCCCTGTCCGGGGTCGGTGCTGACCTCTGACTGCTGTGTGACCTGCTGCCTGAGTGAGGGAACAGCTGCAGTGAGCGGCAGGCTGGCTCGCGGGATGGGACTCTGCAGCTCCTACAGGTTGCTGGGCTGAGGTGGGTCGGGGCCCAGGTTTCAGGAATCACTCAGGGGACCTGGTGAGGCGCACGACCTCTTCTTTTTTTCTTTTTTTTTAAGTATATCTTTATTGATTTCAGTGAGAGGAAAGGAGAGGGAGAGGCAGATAGAAACATCAATGATGAGAGAGTCATTGATAGAGCCCGCAACCCCGGCATGTGCCCTGACCGGGAATCGAATCCCGATCGCCTGGATCCTAGGTTGACACTTAACTGCTGAGTCACGCCCGGCCGGGCCACAACCTCTTCTTAACTTTATGATTTTGAGATGAAAATAAAACTAAAGTTTGAATTAATTAAAATGAATAGCAAATCCAGACAGGCCCCCGGGAGTCACTGAGCCCTCACAGCAGTGCCAGAGGTGCAACGCCTGGGTCCGGCCAGGCAAGGCTTCATTCAGGCCTACCAAGACCTAGGCCACTGGCTCATGCGACTTGAAGGTTTTTAAAAAGTGAACGGATTTCACTGGTTTTAATCATGTTGTATCATGGTGGCGATATAAGTCTCAGGATGGGCAAAAGCTATTCCTGAATTAGTGGAGAGGTGTCATTGTCAAAGGATAAAAGGCCTACTAGCAGGAAAAGGCGAGGTGATCTTAACACTCCTTAGCTCCTCATAATTTCAGGTTGTGTCCTATTATTTGTATTTATATCTTTGCTAAAAGTATTGGCCCACAGAATGAATTTAGTTACGTATAGGACAGAGAGGAACAGGTGAGAATGCTGAACCCAGGCGAAAAAGGGAATTATCCTCGAACTCCCCGCCGGGCCAGTGCGACCACCACGGCTTCTGCTCTGTCAGCGGCAATCACAGGTGAGCCTGGACACAGGCAGTGGATCCTGACCGAGGTGTGCTCCCAGCCACGCTGCGAAGCGACCGCAGCGTGACCCACGCCTAACCGTGGAGGAAGCTTCGGAGGTCCCGGCCAGTACGCACACCCTGCGAAGCTGCACTTACAGCGCACGAACACTTCCCGTCGGCAGACACTGAGCTTCCCTGAGGCTCTAGAAGGGTCTCTGCTATTTCTCCATCTTGTACTTAAACCACCGTCAGGCCCGACAGAGCAGGGGCCGTGTCGGGTAGCGTCCTGGGATGCATCAGTCTCACCCACACAAGCATCAGCACTGCCAGAGAGGGGGCCCCGCTGGGGCTCTCGCAGGTTCTCACGGGGCGGCCCGCTGAGACCAGGCGGGGGGAAGCCCCAAGAGCCGCAGGACGCTTTAGCTCTACCCCCTCAGAAGCATCGGGGGGGGTGAGGAGTGGTGAAGCCTTAGTTCAGGATTGTTTTAAATGGCTATTTTATTGCAAGCCTACAGCATCTGAACACTGTGAGTAAGGAGGAACCTAAAGTAATCAAATTATACTTTATCAATACACCGTTAGTGAAGTAAAAAGAATGCTATTTTTAAGTGCTCTTACCTTCACATCTTTGACATTCATCCGTGTTCCCTCCTTCCCCACGAAGATGTCGTCAATGTCCACGAGGATGTACCTGTCCAAGGACAAGGTCAGCCGCTTCCCCGACAAGAAGGAAACGGCGTCTACGAAGATGAGTTTGTGTAGCCAGAAGTTCAAGTTGTTGCCAAACAGAACTCGCTGGATGCCGTCGTGCAGGCCCAGGTCCTGGACCACCGTGGCGTAGAGCGGTTTGCTGGGCAGGGGGGGGGCGCCCGTCCCCAAGCCCGGCCCCGCCTGCAGCGTGGTCAGGAGCACGGGCTGGTAGGTGGAGTGGTTGGACTGGAAGGCGGTCCAGTCGTCGCCGGGCAGCGGGCCCTGCTGCACCCTGGGCGCCTTGGTGATGCGCAGCAGCGGGGCCTGCGGGTTCACGAGGCAGTCCTTCAGCGCCAGGTTGTTCAGGAGGCTCAGCGGGAAGCCCTTCAGCTGCGTCCGGGGCGAGCTGTTCTCCGTGGCTTTATGAAAACCGATCATGCTGACACTGTATTCCACACAGTATTTTTCTAGGAGCTCTCGGTTCCACGAGTCCATGCCAACGTACTTGAGGATGTTTTCATAGATGACCAGGACGTATTTCCCTCTGCCACTGTCTGTGAGGGGCGGGAGGTCGCCCTTGCCTGGTGCAATGACCATGTGGTAGGGGAATCGGCTGGACTCCAGGATCGCGACGATGTCCTGGCCGAGCTGGGAGTACTGACTCTCCACGAAAAGGAGGACCGTGGGCTCGGTGTGCGAGGTGTCGATGGGCCTGGCTGTTTTCAGCTCCAGGGAGCGGTAGGGGAGCGCTCGGACATCAGCACATTCTGCTTTTGCGGTGGTTTCCACGAGCGCCATCTCCTGCTTGTCGCCCGAGTAGAGGAAGTAGGCGGAAATGACAATGCTCGCCACGCAGAAGGCAGCTAGGAGCACCACCAGGGTCCGGAAACTCCTGCGAAGCTTCAGTATAAGATTCATGTTGAGGATCCTGCCTTGGAAGCTCGTCCCAGTCTCTTCCCCTAAAGTGCCATAGCGGGTACCATGGGAGATGGTGTGAATGCCGCTCCCTGCGAGTTCATGTAACCATTGCAGACCATGTAGGGTGCTAGGAGGGCTCACAGCAGGTCAGGCTGGCAGGCGGGGGGCCCGGGGCAGAGCTGGAGGAGGCGGAATATGTCCAACGCCGAAAGCTGCAGCCCAGTCCTTCAGACATCTGGAAAAGGGAGAAGTCAGTGACTCAGACTATCAGAAATAGAAACATTTGTGTGTACATACACGTCAAAGATCACTGCAGTGAATACTCATCACCGGGTGTTTACAGTCTAGATTTTACTACTTAGAATATAGGAGATTTTTTTCATGTTTTCAAGGATGTAGAATCTAATTTGGTTTTTGTATACATTTTTGTCTTGTATTATAACCACTGCTACACTTCTCCTAGCTCAGGTATCTGATTTAAAAATCCACTTAAGCAAACACACGACCATCCCCACCTGGCCTCACCCTCAAGGCCCCACAGGAGCAGAAGTGTACTCAACCCACTTTCTGGGGGGGGTTGTTTGGTATTTTAAAAATAAATTCAGCCAGGAATGTGGAAAGAAAGGACGTGCATAACAAGCTGACACTCTGTAACATCGTCATCTATTCTACACCAGAAATGTGGCTTTTATGTTTGAATATACACAGGATAAGATGTCAGTTTTGCATATTAGAGCAGCTCATTATAATATACAACAGGGAAATAGAAAGGGAAAAGCATATGGGATTAGAATCTGTCAACCAAAAGAATAAATAAAATTTAAATGTGACATTTATTTAACATTAATAAGTTCAGAGTTAGAAGAACAATACGTCCATATTATTACCACTGTAATAGTGGGCTTGCGTGTGAGTGTGCGAGTGTGCGTGTGTGTATATGTGAGTGCATGTGAGTGTGCGTAAGTGTATATGCATGTGTGAGTGCACGAGTGTGTGTGCATGTGTGTGTGCGTAAGTGTATACGCGTGTGCATGTGTGAGTGTGTGAGAGTGTGTGTGTGTTAACCTAAGGAGTTATAACTTCTCATTCAACCCCCCAACTTCTCCTCCCCTAACAAAAGTCAGCCAGTGGAGGTGAGGCCGTCTGGAAGATGAAGAACGGTAAACCAAGGCACTGTTTGGGGTGCTGGAGAGATGTCCTTGTGATGTGTCTGAACCTGTCATTGTAAAACTCAACAGAAACACAATGTATGTGCGCACGTGTCTGCCGGGTTCCTGGCTGGAGCTCCAAGGATCCTTGGGATTTGGGGGAAGGGCTGTCTTCTGTTCCGAGGAGGCAACACTAGGTGGGGCCTGAGTGGGGCTGGTCTTCAGAAAGACCCAGCTGGAAGCTTGGAACTGTCAGCCCCACCCTCTCTTACGAGAAGGGGAAAGAGGCTAGAAACTGAGTTAAGGATGGGCCAGGCCTACATGATGAAGCCTCCAAAAAAACCTCAGAAGTGTGGGGTTTGGGAGCTTCCACATCCACATACCAGGAGGGTCACACACTCATATCACAGGATCGAGTCCTGCACGCAGGAGCCTCCTGGCCTCGCCCAGCCTCCCTTCACCTGGTTGTCGACCTGAATTCCTTATCACAGTAAACTGGGAAATCTCAGTGTTTCCCTGAGTCCTGGGAGCTCTTCTAGAAAACAATGGAATCCAAGGCGAGGTCACGGAACCGCCTGTAGCAAAGCCCGGCAGAAGTTGGGGGTGACCAGAGGACCGGCTTCCGACGGGGGGTAGTCTCCTGGGACTGTGCCCTTAACCTCTGGGGTGAGAAATGAGTTGAGTCACGGAGCCCTGCTGGTGTCAGAGCAGTGCTGCCCTCTGAGAAGGCCCCACGCCTGCTGTCAGCGTCACGTGAGGACAGTGAAGGTCGGGGAGACACAGGGGACCCGGTTTCCCATACACTTGGCTCGGCTATGCAGTCAGGTGTACAGCGCCGACCTAGGCATCCCGGACAGGTCAAATAAGACAGATCAGCCCGGCCGGGCGCGGCTCAGCGGCTGAGCATCGACCCAGGATCCAGGAGATCGGGGTTTGATTCCCGGTCAGGGCACAGGCCCGGGTTGCGGGCTCGGTCCCCAGTCGGGGCGTGCAGGAGGCAGGCGATCAGTGACGGCTCATCACTGACGTTTCTACCCTTCTCTCTCCCTCTCCCTTCCTCTCTCTGAAATCAATATATATATATTTTTTAAATGAAGAAAATAGATCAGTTTAAAAACACGTACGCTAAATGAATCCCCTAAGATTAAGGGTGTTCACTTGAGGATGAGCGCGAAGAGCCGGAACGCTGCCCTAGAAGTGGAGACATCGCCCCCTGTGCCCGAGGAGGCCCGTGGCAGGCTGAGCATTTCTGCTTTGCCCTCGCCCAGTGCGTGGTGCAGGGCGAACTGGGGCCAGTCAGCAAGAAACCGGCTCAGACAGGAGCCTGGCGCTGTCCTCACGCGTCTGGGTGGCTCCTCGAACGGGACCATGGACACGTGCGGACGACAGAGCGAACTGCCTCTGGGAAAGCGAACCTCTCCTTCACCACACGCCACGAGTTAACCGGGCGTGGATCCTGGCCCTGCCAAGCCCGCCTTTCACGTGTCCCCATAAGCCTCCTGTTGACATTTGGGAAGGGACACCTCATTTTCTGGGGCGGCCTGTCTGCAAACCCGGGCGGGTGAGCCCTCCGCGGACCCCAGCCGCTCCGGCATTGCCTCGGGCGTCCTCACTGCCGGTTCCCTGGTCCTTGCTTCCAGCCTCCAGTGGGGCCGCCCCAGCAGCGCCGAACCGCCCGGATCCGTTACCTCCTTAAGGTGAGGTCATGTGAAGTACCTGTTTTGCGTACCTGTTGAAATCGTTCTTTGACTTATTTCCAAAACGTGTTTATAGATTCTATAAAATAAGCCGGCACGTCCCTTACCGAGGGCTCTCAACCACTGTGAACGTCTGACGATCTCTGCAGCAGCAGAGGCAGCTACTGGCGCAGGGGCTGTGTTTTTGGAAAGCGAGACAATCAGGAGCAAGCTGGGGGCTGGGGCCGCAGGGAATGCGCGCGACTGTTTCTGTCTCTTAGGTGGTCTGCGGAGCTACCTGGGTCACTTCCGGTCACACTCTGCTACGTTCTGTTCACCCTTCGTCCTGCTTACTCATCTTAGTCTATTTATAAAAAGAGGACACTGAGACTTAGAGGGTTCAGGAAAGAGACAGACTGCTCAGTGACGCTGGGGTTCCACGTCCCATGGCCCCAGGGGTGAGGAAAACCAAGGGTTAAGTTGATGAAATCCAGACTTAGCTATTAGCCTAATTCAATCACTTAACTCACGATCAGCAAGTTTTATTTTAATTTTAAAAATTCAGGTATTCAAAGTTAGAAATGTCTGCCAAAAATGGGTAAGAAAACCTAGCAGTGAGCTGGAATTGCTGGCAGAAGTTGCAATATTCCCACAAGCTTTGACTTCTCGTGATATGGGGTGAGGAGCATAGTTTTTCAAGTACTGTGTTTCCATGTCCTTCCTAAGATTTTTCTTTGCTTTTGGGAATATTAAGCAGAATTAGCTCCTATCAATAAAACAGTGGTTTTTAATTAAATAGTGTTATGTAAACATTTAACCATTTATTTTTATGTTAATGGCACTTAACTCCCTTTTGGGGAAAATTCTAAAAATTATAATTATTGTTCAAGAAAGATGCTTTTTTTTTCAAATTATAGGTCACCAACATGAATGGAAGTGGAGACCAGAACAGAAACACTGACGTCCTGGATGTGCCTCATGTCGGGCGAGGGAAAGCAGGAAGCTCGCATTAGTTAGTTGCATCTGTGTATTTACTTGTGTTTCTGGGCCCAATGTAAGATTAATTCTTATTCTGGGTCATGGTCAAAGTGTTAGAGAAACACTACTCCAAGGGGCACAGCCTATTCAAATCATTTAACCTGGTTTTGAGAGAATTGTAAATATCGCAGAGGCTTTAGCCAAAGACGAATGTAGTCTCAAGATTCTGAGCAGTTTCTGAAAATATCTGTTATTGATATTTGAGATGAGGAACTGGTTGACATCATATGGTTTGGTCCCTTGAAGCTCCTTTCAGTTTCCAGACCACAAAATACTGTGATATTATTTTTGTCAATAACTATACCTACATATATAACTTTTCTCAAAATGAAGGTACAGAGTCATGAGTAATTGTTGTATTTAATCAAAACCAACGTGGTATGCATCACGACTTTCTAGAATAATGGTCTTTCTTACCCCTGGGTAAGGGTAGATTATTGCCTAACTTCTATACACTTCATGTTTTCTCCATTTCAGTGACATAATAGAAATTTATCTTAGTCCCCAAAGTGTGCATTTTTATCAACACAGACTCCTAAAAGTGTCATGTCAAACATAATGGGAACATTACCAGCAGGTATTAAATTGCAACACAGTGTTACGTAGGCACACAGCCCTGAGCTCTCCTCACACAGAGATTAGGAGAACACAGCAGCTCCGAGAACAGCAAATGTCCTGTGATCCCCGTTTCCTGGGGATACATGTGCACAGTGTCCACTCCCACTTCCCTGGGTCGTTTTCTAAAGGGAACAGCAGAGAACAGCATGGTTTTTCCAAAGGGAGAGCTCATTTTTATTTAAATCAAAGTGCAAATACCTATGTATTTACCTTGTCTACTAGAATGGCACAGGCATTTTTAGAAGGCAAATATTCCCTGGACACGTGTTCTGCTTGGCCACGTGAGATTCCTAGATGAAGTAGCAGAAATGCTGTTTGTGACCAAGTGGAGAAACCTAGTGATCATTGCAAAGAACTCTGTATTTACTTTTATATTCAGAATTTAATCACCAATTTCACCCTCAGCACTACCAACATGATAGCATCTCCAGAACATATGGACTAGACTTAAGCAGAATGAAACAGCTGTGAAACACCTATACCTGTCCCAAGTGTTCTAAAATCCAGATGACCCCCTTAG